TGTTTTGTCTTTGAGAAACAAGTTCTAGGATGGTAAATCATCATTTGTTTTTTTTAATTCAAATATTGATTACTGATTTGATTATATTTGAGAGGATTGAAAAACACACACACACACATATAAATATTGAGACATATTTCATTGAATAATTTAAACAAGTTTTGTTTACCTATTTTCAATTGGATCCTTTCATGTCCAGGGATAAGCTTTTTGGTGTCCACTTCCCCTGGGATAAGATACCTTACACCCCCACCAGTCACTAACACAAACCCACTCTCATTAACAAGGTGCCTACTACAGGAGGACTGACTCTGAAAATAAATTTAGAACAATGCTCTGAGACAAGAACTTAGAGGCTGACAAAAGACATTGAAGAATGTTTTGAAATAGGCTATCTCTATGTTGAGGTAATTTTTGTTGTTTTGCTGTAAAAAAATACATATGTATATATATATATATATATATATATATATATATATATGTTGTGGTAGGATCCACCTAATTTGCATAGTGGAGTACCGACCATATAAATATGGTTGGTACCGGGAAGACGAGGGAGGAATCAAGAGATTCAATCCAGAGACTCTGCCTGACTGCGACTAAGTCAACACATTCTCCAGGAACGGTCTTCCCAAGAATATACAAAAGACTATATGTAAATATTGTGTACACTTTCTTGTTTCAATACATTTTGTTCTAAGTACATTTTGTGTTGTATTATTATTCCATGCATTAGTCAAGTTTCAACAATATATATATATATATATATATATATATATATAGATAGATAGATATGTCCAAATACAATCATGTTGAAACAGACACTATTTCAAAAATTTAATTAAAATTTAAAATTTTTTTCTCAAGTTTGTTTTTGAGCTTTGGATATTTTTGCCTAGAGAAATTAATGAAAAATTTGCACAATTATAGATTTTGGTTGTTATGAAGTCAATGTTTGCTTTAATTAGTAATATTTAACAATACACCGTAAGCCCATCAGATGACAGAGTGAATACAACTCCCTCTTACTAAGAAATATATTTGATTTATATGACAATCCAACTAAAAATTCAATGAACAAGACAAAAACCTTTCAGCAGTCAATGAACAGAACATTTTTAATAATTAATTTGATTTGTTCTACTAAGACTCTCATGTCTTTGAGGATATTTATAGTGAATAAAATTTTATATTTTCAAAACAATATTACCAAAAAGAGAATGTTTTGTTCATATTTTACTCCTTTAAAATATTTTGCAAAATATTGATTTGGATCAAAAGTTTGTAACATTTTTCAATAGATAGAAATTAAACACACAATGTCATTTCACATGTGACTGAAATTTATAACATATTCTGAAATATGACATATGGTTTATGATTCATGGATGGATGATGATTTTTAAATATTTTAATGTTAAAAGTTAACACATAGTAAAGGATGGGATGCCTTTGCATCACTTGATGTTCTTGTATTTCTAGATAAGAAAAAAGCAAACCAGATAAGCAAAACAAATCCATATATTGTTCATAAGTCATTTGTTAGATTTTAGAAGTAGAAAGTTTGATCTGGAAAACATTCTGCTAGGCCAGCAATCCTTGACAATCACCAAACTGAATCACTGATTAAAATAATCCAGGTAACATCATGGAAATAATCTGCATATCTTTTATGAGTGATGCAAGGGATTTCAAAACACTTGGGTAAATATATTACTTTGAACATAAAAGGTTTACTGATTGGGTGAATCATGGATAAGTCAACCCATGGTTAGTTATTTTGTTGAGAGGTCCTATTTTATTTGAAATTTCTAAGGCACATAATAAGGAAAGAGCTTAGAGAATTTGATGCTCAAAGGGACAGATTTACATCAGAGAGACAGAGGAAAGCAGGGAATAACCAACCTAACAAGATAGGAGAAGACGAATTAGGAAGGATATCAAAAAGAGAAACCTTATTAAGTGCTACAAGCGAGAGGATATTGTAGAGGTCCATAATCGCCCACATCTTGAAGGGAGACAGCACATAAAGTAAGAAGAAGCTAATCTTGATGTTATAAAGAAAATGTTAACAAGAATGACACTTATATTTAGAATCTGAAAAAGACAGTTGAAGTTTCTAGGAAATATTATGAGAAAAGAAGGCTTGAAATATATGACACACACAAGGACAGGGTGAGGCAGAGGGTCACCTAACTGATAAGCTTGTTGAAATGGATGGAGAAACAGGGGTGGAAAGGATGGTAAAAAGATAAACATTACTAAGTGATAGAGAAATAGGAAGTTTGGGAGAACCATAATTGCCAAAGTCCTCAAGAAATGCAGCACATAGAAGAAGACTTCATATTACAAAGTGTGTGAAATGAAAGAAAGTAAAGGTGGTATGTATTGAAGACTATAAGGATAAGGAGGATAAATAATGATTGACCCATGACTTGGAGAGATAGCTACATTGAGTAAATAATCCCTTGCAATAACCACTTGTTCTTATCTATATTACCAGTATATATAAACAGTTGCATCAAATAGCCATTGCACTCATTGTTAGCCTTAACAGATGCAAACAAGATATATTGAATTGTTAAAAATTTATGATACACTTTATAGTTTTATTCTCTATCTCTATCTATAAAATGCAGGATGTGTGTGTGTGTGTGTGTGTAACGAATGCATGGCTGCAATTTTCGACGGATTTTCACCAAAATTTACATGCACATGCTCCAGGTTAGTGGGAAGGCTAAGACTGACCTTGCATTTCCCAACTCCCATCAATAGTGGAAATAATCGATTTTTTCATGCTTCTACGGCAGTTTTCATGTAGTTTGCGGCCATTTTCTACTGGCCAGAGTGAGAGCCTATAGCTGGCTGCCACGAATAGGCAGGAAAATTCTTTTGGCCAGCGTAAGAGCCAACAGCTGACTGACATGAATGTTAACTAGCATGCTAGCATGCAAAAAAAATCGATAGCTGCATTCGTCACAAGTGGAAAAAATTTAAATCTGCATGGCACTTTACTCTAATTGGCTCATTTGCTTGCTTAAACTCAACGTTGATTCTGATTCCGCAGAACTGGGTTGAGTGTGAAAAAGTATTTGTTGTTAACATTCTTTTTTCATTTGGTTTTTCCAGTTACAATTCTTTTTTTAAAGCTGATCGTTTTGTGTTCATTTTGTTTAGTTCTTTTTTTGTAACAGATTTAATGTTTAGTATAGAGCTTAGAAAAAATTCGCAGTGTGAGATAGGCAAGAAGTAAGGCATATAACAACATCAGCATGGCAAAGGGCACTCCTTTAAAGGCAAGGAAGGGCAAGAATATTTTAAGTCAAGTGATAGCGATTGCTGTATAAGTTGTACAATTTTTGAATCAAGCACAGGCAACGCCGAGCCATGCTGCTAGTCAATTATAGAAATAGATTTAAGCCACAGATTAACAATGTAATGATTTTGGGTACCAGAAAGATGGAGGACTTTACTTACAAGATGGAAAGCTTATGGCCAAATCATGTTGAAACACCAGTTCTCGTATGATCACAGATGTTGAGCAACATCAAGACTTGTCAATACCTAGATGGGTGAACGCTTGGGAATACCAGGTGTTGTAAGTATGTATGTGTGGGTGGTGTAATGGATAATAGCTTGGAATAGTCAATCAGAGAGCTGAGTTCCAATTTGTAATGGGGGCGTGGAAAGTAGATTCCCAGATTTTTGATGCACCTTCTGCCACGGTGGAGTCGGATACCGACAACACTGAGGAGGAAGTACCTCCCCCACATAATGACAACAATGAGAAAGGAGCATCAGAAGAAAAAGCCCACCCCCAGCAGGGTGGTGCTGTGATTAGGAGGTCAGTGTAACAGAGAACTGAGTCAGCCCAATAAAAGACTCTAAGTTGGTTTGTATGTGGTGCTTTTAGTACAAGCATTTGCATCCTGTTCCACAATAGGTTGTTGAGAAATGACCTACTTAGAGTAGGTGGCACTGACTATTTGCATATGAATGATACTAGGCAGGTATTAGCCAATAGTCAGCGTGGGGTCTGGGACTGGGAGAGCTATATAACACCAGTGTTTTTTTTTTCCATCAGGGAAACAGAGCTGCAACCAGACCTGACAAGATGGACACACAATTCCAGTAGGGTTCATTATATTCACTTATGCACAAATACCCTTGGGAAAAGGAAGAATCCACCACTTCTCCCCCTAGCTGTGGGTTAAATAGTAAGATTTGTATCACTAAAACCATTATTATCTAAAAAAAATTGTGTACAAAATATTTCAGCATTCAATAACCCATAAAGGTGTTGATATGCTACTAAAAAACAACCAACCAATGCAAAATGGAAACAATAGCAAGGATATAACATGATATGGGAATTCCAGGCAGATATCAGTTTCCCATGAAAGCTTTGGGGCACACCGATGGATAATAAAAGAACAAGACTGCAGGTGATTATCAAGGGATGACAACTGCACCCAATGGAAGGTCAAATGGAATGAGACCAAATTAAACACAGGTGTCACTCAACTTCTCAGTCAATATATTGTACATTATACATTGCATCGCTTAGAGTCTCATAGACATTGAACAACAAAACTTCTATTATTGACACCAAGAGAACTTGCAACTGTCGAAAATGTTATCATATCAACTTGTCATAAACACATGCACATACATATAAATAAATATGTATAGATGCTTATACACATATAAGCATACATATATATGCATACATATATATATGTGTGTGTGTGTTTGTGTGTGTATTGAAGATTTAAGAAACAGCAGATAACTTCGAAGTCGGGATAAAATTGATATTTAAAAGGTAAGTAATCTTTTCATATAATATTATATATGTGTATATATATTTTGCAATAAATTACTGGTGATTGGTGTCTGACCACAACTAAAAGTTTCATGCATTCTCACATAATCATCAGGCGATCAGCAAGTGAAATACATGGACCCACGAAAAATATGTTGGATAAAAAATCTATCTATCAATGTATCTATTTCAGTTTGTTCATTATCTATCTATCTATCTATCTATCTATCTATCTATCTATCTATCTCAGCTTACTCATATCTATCTATCTATCTATGTCAGTCTATCTATATTTAACTATCTTGGTCTGTTCATATCTATCTATCTATGTCTGTCTGTTCATATCTGTCTACCTGTCTATCTATCTATCTGTCTCAGTTTGTGTATATTTATCTGTTTCTGTCTGTTCATATCTATCTATCTATCTATCTATCTATCCCAGTCTGTTCATATCTATCTATCTATCTATCTATCTATCTACCTATCTATCTATCCCAGTCTGTTCATATCTATCTATCTATCTATCTATCTATCTATCTATCTATCTATCTATGTCTGTTCATATCTGTCTACCTGTCTATCTATCTATCTGTCTAAGTGTGTATATTTTTCTGTTTCTGTCTATTCATATCTATCTATCTATCTATCTATCTATCTATCTATCTATCTATCTATCTATCTATCTATCTATGTCTGTCCACATCTATCTACCTGTCTATCTATCTATCTGTCTTAGTTTCTTTATATTTATCTGTCTCTGTCTACTAACTATCTATCCCAGTCTGTCGATTTTTAAGTATCTTCATCTGTTCATATCTATCTAGCGATGTTGATATCCTGGAATGCTGTCACTCTCCCAATAGTTTACTCAGAAGGAATCAGTCTGCTCCATGGCCAAAGGAAATACACAAATGCACAAAATGAAATTAAGACATGAAGGCCAACATCTTGCAAAATGGATGGGGAAACCTTATTCTCAATTGTTCATCCTGAAGGAAAGCAATGCACAATGTGAGACTTGCAAACATATTTTGCACATGATCTATTCAAGAGACGTGTAAGGGCTTTCATGTTAATTTCCCTGCAAATGTTGGTACAGAATTTGATTTCACCTCTAATCACATCTGTCTAAGTAGGTCAGACTGCACGCAGAGAGAAGAGTCAGTCACTGCACGTTATTCAGTATTTCTACATGGAAACAGTATAAAAAAAACAATGTTCCTCAGATGTTGACCAAAAACAACCAAATATTTACCAAAATATTAATGTAATAATTGCTGCAAGAGGCTCCTGTTATATTCTATTTCAAATTAGATCTCTTTCTGATTCAATCAACATCAAAAGCTGTTGACTGGATGTGAATGCTTAGAAAGTGAAACTAAAAATAAAAAAGTCACTCTCGGTACAGGAGCTCCAAGCATTACATCTGGCTCATAAAGTGAATGTCCTCAAGAAAAAAAATATAAAATCCAATATAAAAGGACCCAATCATAAACATTGCCATGAAAGCAAAAAGCATGTCAAAAAATGTTGAGTCATGATCCACCACATCTGCTTTTAAGAACACCGCTCACAACACTGTTAAACAGTCGCAGTGATCAGGTAAACTATCAACATCACCACCAGTGACCTCAGACGTGGCTCAAAAATCAACTCCAGTTCCTATCAACTCTTGCTCATAGAGACTTTCCACCTTGATTCTCTATATTAGCAATGCAAAGACTTTTATCTTAACAATTCTTGTCTTTTTTCTCACTATCTGTAATTGTAGTTTCATTTGTTCTCTCATTCTACTATACACACATGTTTAATACAACCAACATTGCCACATCTGCACAAGGGAATGTAAGATCCTGGCAGGACTTAAAAGGTCATTTTCATGCTGCCCAAATTTGATGATAAATCAAACAATACCATTACTCAAAATCCTGTTGCAGATATGTATGTAGGTATGCATGTGGTCGAATTAGCCAATTCCTCATATTATTCTCATAGATCCCCATGTGAGAATTCAGGCCTTTCAAACTACAAAGAAGAGAAAGAACATTTGTTAAGCATTTTGAAGATAAAAATAAATGTCATAAGAATTATGTCAGACTACCAATAGTCTACTCAGGAGTCAGTCTGCTCCTTGTCTGAAGGAAATACACCAATGCACAAAATGAAATTAAGACATGAAGGCCAACATCTTGCAAAATGGATGGGGAAACCTTGCTCCCAATGGAAGGAAAGCAATACACAATGGTATGAGAAAGTTTGAGCAATGATTGTGTTGCATTGACCAAGAACATAAGCATGAAAAGCTCAAGAGCCTAGATGTTGATTTACCTTAAAATGTTACCAGAGAAATTGAACTCAGATTTAACATATCTGGTCAAATCTATCTTGAGATATGAATAGACTGAGACACAGACAGACAGATAGATAGATGGATAGACAGACAGATAGATAGATATGAAGAGATTTAAATTGATAGATAATGAACAAATTAAAATAGATAGTTGTGAACCAATTTAGGTAGATAGATAGAACAGATTGATATATGGAGATAGATATGAACATATTGATATAGATAGATAGATAATGAACAGATTGAGATATATATATATATATATATATATATATATATATATAGATAGATAGATAGATAGATAGATAATATGAACAGGCTGAGATAGATAGTGTGAGTGATAAGAACAGGCTGAGATATGCATGAACAGGCTGAGATAGTGTGAGTGAGTGATATGAACAAGCAGAGATAGATAGATAGATAGATAGATAAATAGATAGATAAATTGATAGATAGATAATAAACAGATTGAAATAGATGTGAACAGACTAAAATAGATAATGAACAAACTTAGCTAGCTAGATAGATATGAACAGATTGATATAGATAGATAGATAGATAAACCAAGAGAGAAAGAGAGAGAAACAGAGAGAGAGAGAGAGAGAGCGACAGAAATCATTAGAAAACTTCTGTACCATTTCTATTTTTTGCACATTTGATTCATCTTTTAGTGACTTTAAATATTTTGCTTTTTCTTTTGCTGAAATCTTTTGAAGTTGAATCAAATAATACTGCATCATTTTTTTTTCATCCTTCTGTCTTTTTAGAGAATAATGCAACCATTGCTGTCATTGTCATTTTCAGTTTTGACAATATCTTTTTAATCAAACACAAATAATATCTGCAAATAAATCTGGGAAACAATTAAAATGCAATTCAATATGATTTTTTATATTTTTTAATTTGTTCCCACAAATTCATTAATTAAAATGATTAATTGGAATATCTGTAAGTCGGGCATGATTTATTTCCTGCCACAAAGGATTTAAAAACAGATAAAAAAATAAAAAAGCATAAAAAAATTAACTAATCTTTCTTTGGATTTAGTTTAACTTTTCATATTTAATGCCAACACAAGTCATGGGATTAAATCGTAAAATCAAATGTTAGGTTTCAAATTTGTCTGACTGACCGACAAGGGCAATCGTTAATTCATAAAGAAAGCTTTATTTGAAACTGCAGTTATATGCTCTTCTAATTATTGTTGTTGCTGTTTTTAATTAATTAATAAGTTAAACTGCCAAATTTTAAAATCTTTTTTAATTCAAGAGCTTTTGTTGAAGTTTTTCTTGCTCTTTTATTACAGTGGCTTCTGCAATATCAGCTTCTTATGACAGCAGTTTATTTAGACTAATATCCATATCTTTACTTTCATAGGTGGGATTGCAACTAGTATGCAAGGGGTTACAGAGAATGAGAGTAAGAGTAAAGAGGGGTGTTTGAGGAAAGGATATAAAAAAAGACGAGGATCAGAATCAAGACATCAGATGTCGATTGGCATTACATTTGAATATTTGAAGATTATAGCTATCGGGGAAGCAAGTAAGAGGAAGGTAGTTCCACTGTTGGGAAGTGAGAGAGAAAAAACTGTTTGAGTAGAAGAGGCAGTAAAAATTTAACTGTTTTGACAGTGAAAGGGTATGACCAATATGCCACTCGATTAGCTCGCTTAAATTCATGCAGTTTGGGTACCAGTGAAAGTAGCTTGTCAGAGCAGTTGCCATGAAAATATCTGTAGAGAAGACAGAGGGAAGCTACAGCAGGTCTGTGAGAAAGTGACTGTAGACAATGCCAGGTTAGGACCTATCAAATTGCATATCCATCTCTGGATTTTGTCATGGACCTCAAGACGAACAGTGGGGGCGCCAGACCATATATGGCAACAGTATTCAATGCAAGGACGAATGGCTGATTTGTAGATTTGAAGGATGGACTCAAGCCAAAAAAATTCTGGTACCAATATGTTCTTTGGATTCATCTATTGCATCTGGAGAATGCCATTAATATATTTTCATGATTTATCCATAGATAAATAAACATTATTTTATAACCACTGTCAGGACTCACCAGTCAATTACACACGAGGGCTTAACAATTCAGTTCTTAGAATGGAACCATGAAATTACCTTTACATATGACTAGATTATCTGAGGAAAACCTTTCACAAAACCAACAACATGTTTCGAATGAGTATGACGAAGTCTTTTTAGAGAACAAAATGCATTACATAGTGTTTTTTCCATTTTGTCATTCAATTACACAGCAACAACCAATTCTCCTCATGATTTGAATTCAGAGTTGTACTTATTCTAATGTTAGTTCAAAGCAACACTAAAGAGCCCCGTCTGCCCATTTATTCAACCCATAGCCAGAAAAAGATTCATATCTTTCTCACAGGTATTTGTGTGAAAGTAAATTTAACTAACTCAACTGGAATACAAACACAGCATGATGTTCTCTCATTCTGAACTGCTAAACACTACATGATATGCACATCCCATGTTTACAGACACTATGCAGATATACATATATATATATATATATATATATATTTATTCATTTATTTGTCTTTTTGTGGAGAAGTTTTTCAATCTGATGAGCTGAATGGCTTGGTGTTCATAAAATAAAAATTAAAAACGAAATGGATAATTAAAATCTCCATCTTCCTATTATCAATATATATATATATATATGTATATATATATAAAAATGTGTTTGGTAATCCGTATGGATAATTCCAGGTAGGATATAATCCAGAGAACTCAATGTAAAAACAGAGAAAATATTCATTATATTAAGAAACATACAACTTTAAGGATTCATATATTCATAAACATATTGTATATGGATTTATTTTATTGTGTACTATATATATTTTATTTTATACTATACTATATATATATTTTTATATATATATATATATATATTTATGTACTATATATATATATATTATTTTATATATTATTTTATATATTATATTTTATTGTGTACTATATATATATATATATATATATATATATATATATATATATATAAGTTTCTCATTCTGAATTGTTAAATATATATATATATATATATATATATATATATATATATAAAGTTTCTCATTCTGAATTGTTAAATATTACACAATATGCACATCCCATATTTACAGACACTTTGCACATTGAGGAATCAGACAGAGATCTGTTTTTTGGTAATAATACAATTTCCATTGAAAATACCAAATCTACAAAAACATCTGCTGGTGAGCAATTCCCATTTCTTTGTTTGTTCCTCAGACAGTTGATGAAGAACTCAAAACCTTTCTTCATTTCTATTAGGTTGGTGCAAAAATAATGACGTAATCATGTCGGTTTTTGACGTATTTTTTTATGTCAAAAAAC